AGCGGTGTTTCTATCTTGAAAGAAGTTTTAAATTATTTTTATTTTGTCTATACCCAATGGACATTTTGGTTGAAAAAATCCATAAACCTAGAGATAAGATAACTTTGGCCTGGGTGATGAAGTAAATAGTGTTATTAGGGTTTTTCGACTTTTGTCGAAAAGATCTATAGTTTTCGTCTTGTTAGGGCTTTTCGCTTCGGGCGAAAAGCCCTATTGTTTTCGTTGTGTTTATCAAGGTCTTCAGCCTTCAGCGGAAGACCTTTTAGTGATTCTTAGGTTTCTTTTTCACTTTTCTTATTATAAGGGTCTTCCGTCTTCAGCGGAAGACCTTATTGTTTTTCTTCGGTTTCTTTTTCACTTTTATTAATATTGTTGCTCTTACCGATTTTGTGCACGCGATTTCTCGAAAACGGCTCGACAAAATCTTCAGGACATATGGATCATCACTTGAACCTTATGGGTTTTTTTTCTGTTTCAATGACGTCACTTCCGGTCTAGAGATATCGTCGATTTTCTGAATTTTTAGGGTCATCTTGTCCACAATTTTCCAGAAAAACGGGTCTAGATAGAAACTTTTCGGCATGGTAGAGCTATGTATGGAGAAGTGCATCAGGTATTTAAAATTAAGCGGTAATGACGCACACCGGCGCTCGCTATGGCCCTAAGATACTCCTATCACGAATTTCAAAATTTTAAGACCTTTTCTACGATATCTTTTAACCTGGAAATATTTTGTTAAAACATATCGAACAAAAGAAGTGTAGAATTTCAAGATTTTTCAAATGATATCTCGGGAAAAGGGCCGGCCCCTAAAATTAAGGGCCTAGAGGGGCCAAAAGCTTTTCTTTTATATCTCAAAAAGTATTGACAATTTGAAATACATCAAAGAAGCAAAGTTGTTCAAAATGGGGTCGTCAAAATAGTCCGGTGACGTCACTTCCGACCAAACCGGAAGTAGTCGGAAAACGCGTATTTTTGCCGTTCTTGACAAGTTTTTTGGTAACATCTGTCACTGGGAGCATAAAAATAAATTTTCCGTCCGTCGTCGTCACTTCCGGTCAAACCGTAAGTAGCGAAAAGGGCGCTTTTTTGCATTAATAAACAAACTAAAACCATTTCTGGCTGTTATTACACCCGTAGGAACCCGGGGTGGCAAGAATAGGTCCCTGGCACCCCCTTGCATGTCGTAGGAGGCGACTAAATGGGGCAACCTGTTGGCCGACCCGTGTTGGTGGAGGAGTAGCTGCAATAATGTAGCCCTTTCCCTCTTTTGTTTTGAGGGGGGGGGGGCTACAACTCCTTAGGATCTCCGTAATGGTGCAGAGTGGGAGCGATTCGCTTCCGCACGGATTTCGGCTCAAATTGTCAGTAAATGGCTTCTTACCTTGACTCCTAATAAGTAGTCATCCAAGACGTAAATCAATGCAAAAATGTACAGAACGATCCATATATCGCTTATTTTTCGTGTATGTCAACATCACAACTCGAATTTATCCGCCATGTTTACTGACCTTGATAGATTGTATTTTGGGACAGCCAATGAGAATTTAGGTTCTATAAGAGCGGATCTCTTTGGAATTCCTTTATTTTAAGCATAAATATCGCTGCTTGCATAAAAAACATTTGAATTGGTTTTACATTCCTATGTTTTTGTGATAAATTTCAGCACAATCATTTATAAAAACCGATATTTGCTTTATTCAGTTGTTCTAAATTTTAAGCGAAAGTCTCATTACGTCACACGTGAACTGTCATGGCTGCTGAGTAAACTACCAGGAAACACGCTTTACTTTACAATTATTTCGCATTTAACGGCGTCTGTTGTTGACAGTGAATAAAAATTTCATCTTATTAGAAGTAAGTTGAATGTAAAAATAATTTATTTTGCCTGCAGTCGCTCCTATTTAAAAAATATATTTGCACCATTACGGAGATGCTATGGAATTGTAGCCCTTTCCAGAAAACATCAGATTAAAAAAAATCGGAGAGGGCTACATTATTGCACCTAGTGGAGGAGGGGATCCTGGTGGCTGAGGTCCGCAGGTGCTGGGTGCAATGAACCTGTTCGATCAACACTCCACTTTGGCCCCATATTCATCTAGACAGAGGTCAAGTTTGGCCCGACTTGATCAATCGGCTAGTCATGTCGAGCTGATAATATTAACATGCCTTTGTATTGATATTTTGCAATTTTTTATTATCTGTTTTCTCTAGTTTGCAATTTCCAATACGCCGACGTTTCAATATTGATATTGATATATTAAGCGGTGGCTGAGGGTCAATCAGGCACATCATGTTTGACTAGTTTCTTTGTATCCTCTTGGTATCAGCCTTACTGGATGTCCGTTTGACTAGATATCGCCTTTGTTGGCGCTCCGAGGCGGGCAGGGAGCAAGGATTCTGAATCTTTTCTTATATAATCATGGCTCTCTAAAAAAAACGTTGCTACCCAGCAGGTTTTGATATTACTTTTAATTATGAACAACTGAATTCGGTCGTGGAACACTGGCGCCGCTTCATCGCACTTGAAGCACAATTATCAGAAAAACAAACGAAGCCTTTAACAAAGATATCACCATTTATCATTCAAAAAGGTATTCAAGGAATCATCGGTACTCCTAAATCTGTTAAAAAATTGAGATCCGGAGCTCTACTTATTGAAGTTACCAAAAACAGCAATCAACTTCTTTACTAAGTTTGAAAATGCTTGCCGATATTTCTGTTGTTGGTGAAATCCACGGTGGATTAAATCAAAGCAAAGGTATCCTTTTCGACAGAGATCACGACCTGGATGACATTCCTGAGCAGGAAATCCAATCGGAGTTGGAATCCCAAGGAGTGGTCTTTGTGAAAAGGTTTACAAAAAAGCGGAATAACATAGAACCGACAAATATATACCATTTGACTTTTGGTATACCAACAAGTATTAAAGTTGGACTTTACCATATGAAAGTTGAAATGTTCGTTCCAAATCCTCTGCGTTGCTTTAAGTGCCAGAGGTTTGGACATGGACAATCCAGTAAGGGCTCTGAATCCTGCTTGATAAGCAGTCAAGGTGACCAGACGTGTTTTTTTTACAGCTCCTGCATTTCTTATCTATACTTAGCAATTACAATGGAATAATAATGAGTTTAAGTGATAGTTCTAACCTCTTCAAGTCACTTTTGGACTCATTTACTGGATTTTCAAAGTCATTCATTGTAAGTAACGAGCTTCAAAATGAATCTGTTAAACTAGATTCAGATGCACCAGATTTCCTTCAAGTTAAGGAAAATCAGAGGAGTGTCACTATAACTTTCAATGGGGAAAAATACCCCATCATCTTGGATCTACTACAGAGTGAACTTGTGCTGTTTAAAAACCGTGAGAAAAGAAGACATGGGTCTATATATAAATCTCAAGATGATTCTGTCACAGTCACCATTTATGAGAAAACAAATACCCTTCACATTCAAGGAGACTCATATTTCTCGTGGTGCCAGAGATTTCTCAAGGATTTGAAGACCTCTGATGAAAATTTGGAGACAAGATGTAAGACCATAGAGGAAACATCCCCCCAGTGCACATCTACTCCTAAAAGTAAGGCCCCACAAATTGATGAAGACCCCCAAATGAATTGTCATCAGTGCATTGACAGTGCCAAAATCATAAAGGAACTTTCAGATACTGTCAAATTTCTGTCACAAGAAGTCAGCGAACTTAAACAACGATTAAATGCATCAAAGAAGGTCACATCTTTTAATACAAAAGGTACCCAAACAGCTCCAACCAGGACAAAGGAGAAGGAGACATCAACAGATGGAATTAAAATTCCTGGGCCCGGTGTATCAAGGCATAGTCAGTATGACATTAAAGCGCCCTTAACCAGTAGCAGTACCATGACGGATACCAGCGAGGCTCCAGAGATCAAGAATGCTACTGCTTTGCCCGATCCTAAAAATCAACCTGGAAAGAAACCAAAGGACAAATCTGTCCTCATCATAGGGAGCTCGATATTACAAAGGATCCGTACCAGAGGATTGCTTTCAACAGTACAGGTCAGCACAAATCGAGGAGCAACCATCTCTAATATAAGGACAAAACTTACAAAAATGGATGTGTCATCATATCAGAGTATTATTATTTTAGCTGGTGGAAATGATGCTTCAAGACGGCGGGATGCAGAGGGGATTGAACACGATTTTTCAGAAATAATCGCAGACCTTCAACATCGGAATCCCAGTGTACGTGTGTATATTTCAGAAGTGTTGGCAAGGCGTGATACGAATGTCAGTGATGTTAATGGAGTCATTAAAGATGTGTGCGAAATGTATGGTGTCACTGTGATCCCTACTTCAAGGTCCTTTGGAGATGGAAAGTTCAATCAGGGATACTTCTGGAAGGACGGAATCCACCTGTCAGACAGAGGTACTGCAGCACTGCTGAAAATCTACCACGGATATGTGAATATTCTGAGAACAGGAAATGTGCGCGAAAATGCCAAAAAAATTACATCGGCTGGCAATGATTCCTTCTGTTCAACCTACTGCTATTTCTGTGGGGAAAGTGGTCATATATCGCGATACTGCAGGCATGGGAGAAAGCTGGACTGTTGGAACTGTGGAGAGCTAGGACACAAAACCAAGCTCTGCCCGCGTACCTACTAGGAAACGGGCAATGGAAGTATAGCCGTTACCAAATCCCGAGGGATAATGAATAACAATAATGTATTTTCTCTTCTTCATTGTTTATGCTCGGAATGTAATAAGATTTATTGTTCATGTCGTGACTATAAAGACTCATGTGCATTTGTTCAAAATTTAAGTATTAACTCAAACACTTTATCAAACTCTTATAATATCATTAAGACAAATAGAAATATTACTAGTTCTGCTTCCAAGAAGGTTTCACAATCAGACAAATCTACTGTGTTTATAACTAAAAATAACATAACAAGCAATAATGAATTTGGTTTGACGAAAAAAGGCTTAAAATTAGGAAATCTAAACATTTGTCACCTAATGCCAAAAATTGAAGAGATAAAAATTATGATTCAAAACAAACAAACTCTTGATATTCTAGGACTTTGTGAAACCTTTTTGAATGAAAATGTTAATGATTCTGAATTGAATATTGATGGCTTTGAAATAGAAAGGAAGGATCGCACTTTGAGGGCAGGTGGTGGAATTGTAGTATACATTTCTAAAAATATAAGATACAATCGTAGAACTGATTTTGAAATTGGTAATATTGAAACAATTTGGCTAGAATTAAATATAAAGAATTCTAAACCAATTTATTATTGTTCAGCGTATCGTCCACCATCTGCTCCCTCCTGCTGGGCAGAGGACCTGGCTAGAGAGATTAACTGTGCCTCCTGCTGTGACAATGCTGAAATCATCTTAACAGGTGATTTTAATATAGATTTATTCAAAGAACCCCCACAAAGTTGGACATATGCTCTAGAAGAGTTTGGTTTTTCACAATTAATTACAGCACCAACTAGAGTAACTAATACCTCAAGCACCCTAATAGATCACTTTTACACCAATAAACCAGATAACATGTGTGAAGTAAATGTACCTTTTATAGCCATCTCTGACCACTACCCAATATGTGCTACTAGGAAAACAAAATGCATGCCACAAAAAGGAAAACACATAGAAATCCAGTATAGAGACTTTAAAAAATTTGATGAAAATAAATTCCTCCAAGACTTAAAAGATGTAGACTTTAACAATCTCCTCCAGATGCATGACCCTAATGAAATACTAACTGAATTCTATGAATTATTTAATAGCGTACTAGACCAGCATGCACAGGTTAAAATTAAACGAGTAAAAAGTGAAATCCGTCCTAAATGGATGACACAAGAAATAAACAATGCTAGACATTTACGGGACTCTTACCACAAAGAAGGAGATATGGAGAACTATAGACTTTATCGAAACAAAGTTAGTCTTCTTATAGACAAGTCAAAATCTTCTTACTATAAAACAGCGATTGAACAGAGTTCAAATCCCAAAGAAATGTGGAACTATCTTAATCAATTAACATGTAATCATAAGAATACAACTCCATCTCATGTGTCTTCTAATGGGGAAATTGTTGATAATTTACAGGATATTGCAAATACTTTTAATAACCACTTTACAGATGTCTCTAACAAGCTTCTTTTGGAAATACCAAAACATGATTATGATCCCAATATATTATGTAATTTTGTTAAGTCTAAACTTGATGAGGAAACCTTCTTTAGTATTCATCAAATTGAGGAAAGCGAAGTTTTTAACATGTTAAATTCTCTAAATGTCAATAAATCAGCTGGCATTGACTTTATTGGGCCGCGTCTTTTGAAAGTCGCATCTAAATATATATGTAAACCTATAACTCATCTTATCAATGCTAGCATAGTAAGTGGTATTTTCCCGACAAATTTAAAACAAGCCAAAGTAACACCTATTTTTAAGAAAGGTGACAAAGCAGACCCAAATAATTATCAACCTATTTCAATCCTACCAACTATATCTAAATTGATAGAAAAACATGTAGCTAAGCTCATAAAAAACTTCACTAATGAATTTGATCTACTAACGCAATCACAGTCTGGGTTTAGGGAACTCCATTCTTGTCAAACTTCACTTACAAAACTAACAGATAGTTGGCTTAATGCAATGGATCGTGGTGAACTAATCGGTATTACATTTATAGATTTTAGTAAAGCATTTGATTTGGTGAATCATGATATTATTTTAGAGAAATTAACCCATTACAAATTTGACCAAACAGCTATAAAGTGGTTTAAGTCATATCTTGACAATAGGACCCAGTGTGTTAAATTTGGAACATGTGTCTCCAAAACTCTACCCGTCACAGCAGGAGTACCACAAGGGTCAATTTTGGGCCCACTTTTATTTTTATTGTACATAAACGACCTTCCTTTACATATAAACAATTCAAATATTGATATGTTTGCTGATGATGTTACTCTGTATTCTAATAATCATAATGCAAGATGTCTAGAAAATACACTAAATTCAGATCTTTGTGAAATTGAGAAATGGTGTGCTCAAAATCAAATGGTTTTAAATGTAGAAAAAACAAAATGTATGTTAATGGGAACAATGCAAAGAAAATCTAGACTAGAAAATCCAAATTTACAACTTTATGCCTTGGACAAAACAATTGAAATGGTTGAAACTGAAAAAATTCTTGGTGTACACATTGATGATAAGTTACAGTATGCAAATCATATTGATTCGGTTTGTAAAACCTTAAATTATAAGTTATTTACTCTTCGTAGGATTAATAAATATCTCCCTCTTCATACCAGGAAACTATATTACAATGCTTATATTTTACCATCTATTAACTATTGTTTGACTGTTTGGGGTAATGCCCCCAAGCAGGACATGGACAGACTATTTAAATTACAAAAAAGGGCAGCAAGGATTATTCTTGACGCAAATCCTGATTCTTCTTCTAAACCACTGTTTGAGAAACTTGGATGGTTAACTATTTATGAATTAGTTGATCTGTACAAATACATATTATTATACAAAATTTTCAGCGGAATGACTCCCGCATATCTGCATAATTTATTCGAATTTCAATCGTCAACTTCTTATAACTTACGATCTGAAACTAATTCTGATCTTAAATTACCTAAATTTCGTACGAACTTGTTCAAGACCTCTTTTCAGTACTCAGGTGTACATCTATGGAATAAACTTCCCCAACACATTAGACTCTCTCAATCTCTACGAGCATTTAAGTGTAATGTAGAAAATTACATCATCAGCTGTCGCTCAATTATTTGAACATAAGATTTTGATATTGTAAATACAATGTTTGTGATTGTCATATGTCTGTACATGGACACTCTATTCCACATAATTTTGTTATTGTAATCCCTTAAGACTATTATACTGTTATATATGATGAATTGTATCTTGTGTATTTTTTGTAATTGATGTATTATAGAGGGCCCTGGGGAAGAATAGTGCATGCACTAACCAGGTTACCTTCTTTAAATAAAGTTTTATTATTATTACAATAGCTATATGTTTACAAGAAACACATTTAAAAGAAACAGATAAAATTAATATTAAAAACTATAGTATGTACAACCATTATGGCACCTCTCTAGCAATTAACAATAAATTCATCCATAGCCAAATAGATTTTAAAAAGAAATCTTCAGGCAGTAGCTGTACACCTTTCACTTGAAAAAACAATTACCATTTGTTCCGTATATGTTCCTCCAAACTATCATTTACAAGCTTTAGAACTTACAAAGTTAATACAACAACTTCCAGCTCCATTTATGGTTGTGGGTGACTTTAATGCCCATAATCCATTATAGGGGCAGCGATAAAATAACAGATAAAGGAAAGATAATTGAGGATGCAATATCACATCATAATCTTTGTATACTAAATGACGGCTCTAACACCTATCTGCATCCGGGTAATGGTTCATATTCTTCAATAGATATAACTTTAGTAGACCCTCTTTACTCTTGGATTTTAGTTGGTCAGTACATGACGATTTATGTGGAAGTGATCACTTCCCAATTATCATTAAACTAGATATATCCTCTGAAAATACTTCTATTCAAAACTGGAAGCTAAACAAGGCTGAATGGATACAATTTGAAAACTTTTCTTACCAAATATTTCGTCCGAAACATTCGAGAACAATCCTGATCTTATTAAAACAATTACTGAAATCCTATTAACTACTGCAAATAAATGTATACCTAAAACCTCGACAAAGTCCTCTTAAAGTAAAAAACCATGGTTTACCGAAGAATGCAATGATGCTATTAAAGCTCGCAAAAAAGCAGAGAGACAATTTAATCGAATACCAACATCAGCAAATTTAAGCAATTTCCGTATATTCAGAGCAAAACCTCGCAGAACTGTTAACTTTAATAAACGAAAATCTTGGAAAAGATTGATTTCAAGCCTTAATTCTCATACTCCTATTAATAAGGTCTGGAATGCAATTAGAAAAATAAGAGGTAAAGGTCCTGAAAAATATCAACATCTTAATGTTTGAAATGAAATTATAACGGATAAAAAAGAGATATCAAATGAAATAGGTAATACAATTTCTAAAAATTCCTCCAACAAAAATATCAGCCCTAAGTTTAGTAAATATAAAAATTCACAAGAAAAGAAAATATTAGATTTTACATCTGAAAACAATGAATGTTATAATCACCCATTTACTTTAAATGAACTTCAGAAATCTTTAGGTAAATCCCATGACACAGCAGTAGGACCGGATGAAATCCATTATCAAATAATTAAACACCTTCCTTTAAAAAGTAAAGAATGTCTTCTGCAAATTTTCAATACAATTTGGAAGCAGGGTCATTTTCCACCTTCCTGGACCCAAGCTACAATAATTCCCATCCCAATGCCTGGTAAGATCACACAGATCCAAATAATTACCGTCCTATTGCGTTAACAAGCTGTTTATGTAAAACCATGGAAAGGATGATCAATGAACGTCTTATATGGTTTCTTGAAACTAATAACATTTTAACTAATATTTAATGTGGTTTTAGGAAAAACCGCAGTACTGTTGACCAGTTGGTGAGACTGGAAACCTATATTCAAGATGCTTTTATTAAAAAAGAGCATGTTGTATCTGTGTTTTTTGATTTAAGCATATGATACTACATGGAGACATGGCATTTTAGAAGATCTCTACACTATGGGTCTTAAAGGACATTTACAAAATTTTATCAAGAATTTCTTGAATGATAGACATTTTAAAGTACGCTTAAGGTCTACATATTCAGAAAGTTTTGAACAGGAAATGGGTGTACCATGCACAAGGTAGTATTCTATCAGTAAAAACTCTATTCAGTATAAAAATTAACAACTTAGCAGAAGTTCTTGAAAATGATATGCATGGAAGTTTATATGTTGATGATTTTGTTTTTTGTTTTAAATCCAAAAATATGAATTATATTGAACGAAAATTGCAGAGTTGTCTAAATAAAATTCAAAATTGGACTGAAGTGAATGGATTCAAATTTTCAAAAAGCAAAACCACATGCGTTCATTTTTGTTCCAAACGGAAAGCGCATGACGAACAACGTCTGCTGTTTGATGGAAATCCAATTAAAGTTGTTAAAGAAATAAAGTTTTTAGGTATCATATTTGATAGTAAACTTTCTTTTGTATCACATATTAAAATGCTTAAAGAAAAATGCACAAAGGCTCTAGATGAAATCACGTTAGTTCCATTATTTCAAAAATGAAGCAAGCAATTCATGTGATATTTCACATGAAAAGTAATGCAGGCATTATCTTTAGGTGGTTTTGTCATGAAAACAAAGTTCCCTAAAATAGAAGGGATTTTAGGGGTCAGAATATAGAAAAAAGATTTTTGATTGTAACTTTTCTATTTGCCCACATATCTTCAAACTTATTTCAGTTTTTAGTGAAGCATAAGAAGGGCAATTCAGAAATTATGGGCCGTGGGGTCACTTTTGATCCCTTAAAGGACTTTTAGAGACCTGAAATATTGTATTTATTAGTCTTTTTAAAAATGGTCGTGTAAGAGTTATCTCTCTTTGTCAACTTATTTGGAGTCTTATATGTTCTCTATGCTTCAACATTGGTACGCATATAAGTAGTACTTCTGGTTTTACGAGTCCCTTAAAATTGCCTATGGAGATTTCTTTGTTAAATCTAAAACCACGCTTATTTCATTATCTCAAAAAGGAAGCAAGCAATTCTTGTGATATTTCACATGAATAATGACTCTAATATTGTTTTCAAGTGGTAAGGTCATGGAAATAAAAATCCCTAAATTAAAAGGGATTTTATGGGTCAATACAGAAAACAGATTTTTATATGTAACTTTTTTTTATTTCTCAACCAATCTTCAAGCAAAAATATGTTTTGCATCAAGCATAAAGAGTTCACTTTAAAAATTATTGGCCATGGGGTCACTTTTTGACCCCTTATAGGAGTTTTAAACGATTGAAAAAAGCACTTTTTCGAATGTTTTAAATGTTCATAAAAGAGTTATGTCGCTTTGAGTAGACGCTGATTGACATATGAAATCACTTGTTCTGAACTCAGTATTGATCTCAAAAAACTGTTGTGACCTTGAACCTGATGAGTTTTCTATCATGTAAGTTTCTTTAAGCTCTAAATTTTGAAGGGGGCGAAAAGCTCCCGTTGTTGTTGAACGACAAAAAAGGTCTAGTGAAATTAGAAATTGGGAAAATAAGGGATTTCTAGGGGCCAACATTGAAAACAGACCTTTGCCTGTAACTTTTTTATTTCTCAATGAATTTTTATATAGTTTTCAGATTTGACTTTAGCATAAAAAAGACAGTCTAAAAAAAAGGTCCGTGGGTCACTTTTTGACCCCTTTTAAGAGATTTAGAGATTTGAAATATTGTATTTTTTTTGGTTTTTAAAAAAATAATTGTGCAAGAGTTATCTCTTTTTGTCCATCTTTTTGGTGCCCAATATTTTCTCTAAGATTCAATTTTGGTATGCATCTGAAGAGTACTTCCGGTTTTACGAATCCCTTAAAATTGCCTATGGAGATGTCTATGTTAAATCATGCTTGTTCCATTTTCTTACAAGGGAAGCAAGAAATTCTTGTGATATTTCACATGAATATTGAATCAAGCATTTTCTCAAGGTGGTTAGGTCATGGAAATAAATATCCCTAAAAATAAAAGGTATTATATGGGTCAGTACAGAAAACAGCTTTTTCTCTGTAACTTTTTTATTCCTAAACCAATTTTCAAACTAATTTTGATATTACATCAAGTATAAAGAGTACAGTTTAAAAATGTGTGGCCATGGGGTCACTTTTTGACCCTTTATAGGAGTTTGAGTGGATTGAAAAACAGTACATCTTGGTATGTTTTAAATAATCATGAAAGAGTTATGTCTCTTAGACTAGCTGCTGATAAACATAGAGACAATATGTTTCCAACTGATTATAAATATCAAAAAACTTTTGCTATATTGTTTCATGATTTTTTTTACAGTGTGATATTGACTTTTGTTGTTGAAAAGGATTAGTAAATTTCAAAATGGAGATAATTCATGTTTTTGTCTAATAATATATATTATTTAATTTTTTCCCCTTTCAGTGTGAGGGATTCCGAGAGACCAAAATGCGATAGTGGGACCAAGAGGTAAATATTTTTGTTGTTGTTGTTATTGAAAATAGTTACTAGTATTGAATTGCAAATATTACAATTCTTACTTTGCAATTTGTATGCGGTTGATCTGATCTAAAACAATCTTTAAAATTTAATTTCTTTTTATAGCTTTGTTATTATATTTTTTTTTAAGTTTCAGTAAGACAAAAATCAAAAGGACACCTCTTATGAATTCACTGTTTTAATCATGTCTGATGGGAGAGCTGATGACTTTCCCAGTGCTATTTACTTGATATCAACAATAAATTCATATTTAAATATCACCATGCCGATGAATTTCTATATGCTTTGATTTCTCTAACCAATAAAGAATACATTACAGTAGTATTTAAATATCTAGATACACGTACAAGGCAATTCCATATGTGGAAATTATTAATAATTTGAATTTACGATTTAAAATAAAACACATTTTACAAGGATTCGGCATTAAATATCAAAAAAATTATTACATGTGTAACGTGACATTTCATTGAATATAAAAATAATTTATAAAGTGTGTTCCACTGAGATGATTTTAGCTGAAATGATTAAGATTAATTCCAACGACCGTCATATATTGTAGGTCGAAATTCAGAGATCCTTTCATTTTTCATCCACGTTGGCATGCGTGGGAGAACCTACAATCTTTTCCAGAACAAATTCCTTCTTTGGAATTATTGAAGTTGTAACATACGAGTATATTGTTCCCTGCTTTCCCTTGGTATCTTGAAAGGGACAAAAAGTCGATTTTTTCCTACTCCCTTTAACTTCTAATGCAAACCGGATGCAATTTTTTTTTGGATACAATTCAACATTTAATTGACCCCATCGGATTTTCGTC